CAGCAATAGCAAGACCAGGAAAACTGAACAGACCCTCCAGCTCCCTCATGAAGGGGCCAGCACAGGAGCCAGCAAAGCAGCTAACACAGGAGTCAAGGAGTGTTAACAAGTGTACGGGAGTGAACGAGAGAGAGGGTAAGGGGGAGAGTAATGGCTCCCAGACACCCTCCTCGCCTCTGCCCCAAGCATGACATACTATGGAATGAAACACTTCTTTGGTCAGTTTGGGTCAGCTGCCTGAACTGTGTGTCCCCTGCACTGCCTGTAGCGAGACCGCGAGAGCTGGGAACGCAGCTGCAGGATCAGAAGCGGAGAAAGACCTTGAATTCAGTGCAGGCATTCTCCAGTGCCAGCTGAGACCTTATCAGTGCTGCTCTCTGCATGCAGGAACAGCTTCCTAGCAGCCACGGTAGAGGGAGTTAACTCCTTCCTGACTGAACCCAGCACACAGCAGTAGCCTTTGTTACATTTCCATTTCAGTCACATTGCCATTAGATACAGTGCAAGTTTAGACAAAGATATGGGACCCATGTCTGTATTATAAAATCATCTCCTAGCAGTTTCACTGAAATTGCTTAAAAAGGTTTCCATTTTTCAAATTTGTATAAAACTGAAATTAGTTTCCTTCCAGAGAAAAATCTTCTAATCCTTTTTAAAAGGATTAAAATGTAAAAATTCCTAGCAATACAAAGTAGATTTGTAGGTGGGTTTTATACCTGTCTTTTCAGTCTTGTAGCTGATAGATGAATCATTCCGTGTTTGATATTATTGAGCAAGTCAGTGTACTTAAAGGTATTCAGTGCAAAATATTCCCTCAGCAAGTGGAGACTCGAGGTTGACTAATCTTACTAATGTTAACCTCTACAGGTAATGTATGATTCTGGCATCTGAAGATGATTGCCAAGCACTCATCCAGTAGACAGCATCTAAACTGTATAGACAAGGGAGATAAGAATAATATCCCCTTTTTGATATTTGCCTTTATGCAAAGGGATCTAGTCCAACCACTGTTTACCTGTGTGTCTTATTACCAAGAGAAGTCCAACTTCAATCAATAGAGTGACTCCAGAAAGTTAAGGAAGTATATCAAAGCATGCAGGAACGGAATTCAGGGAAGATGAGTTAATTGGAAAGCTGAGGAACTCAGCTGGGAAGCTGTGTACTGAGTTCCTGAGATAAGGGCCTGTATTTTTAATTACCTAGGTGGAAAAGAACAAAGTTAAATTATTTTTAGGAAGTACTAAGAACATATGTCTGATGCGCTATGTAATAAAAAACCACAGAGATATATTTTTAATTATTCTTTCACAAATAGCAGAAAAATCCCACGACTATTGGTCACTAAATGAGCATTAAGCTTCTTCTCATTTTGAGGACAATTAATAAAAGTAAACTGACTTTGGAAGTTGGTGTTACATAGTAAATCAAACTTTTGTCAACATTTACCTGGGTAAATGTGGACATTTTCATGAACACCAGAAGTATGCAGTTTTGCTTCATCATTTCAGTGTAGCCCCTCACAAGTGTGAGGGCAACACTTACGTATTGATGGCAAGAAATAATCTTTCTGGAAGCGTGTGTAGCCAGCTCAAGAAAGCAAATTATTGTACAGTTTGTCTCAAAAATCTTTGGAAGATCTTATGAAATAGTGTAAATGAGTTAAGGCAGGCAATAGGCAACTTAAAATTTGTCCAACCTGCATGTTCTGAGTAAATCAGTCCTTATCTAATTGTCCTTGTTTCCAAGCCTAATTGTCCTTGAAAGTATTATAAGCTGTTGCATTTTCACACAAATGAACTGCTCAGGAAGAATTTGTCAAATGCCTTAGGTGCAGATTTTATTCTATGTCAGATGCTTTCTGCAGACATGCGTTCAAGGCTCTGTCTACAACAATTGTGTAGCTGTCAAAAGGAAAATACCATTCCTGAACTCTGTCAGTGTCTCTCTCTTACAGTATTTCATCATATTGATTCAGTGCAGGTATGTTTTTGTTTTGTGGGCATTAGAGGTATGTAAAATGACAGTGCTTATGCTTGTCCAGAAAAGACAGGGACTTGTTGCAATTCCCAAAGCAATAGCAGCTGTTGGTTGCAGCAGGTACTCTGTGTATAAAGTATGTTTTCCAAACAGAGGTCTGGTTCAGTAACTGTTTAAAAGGCCAAAAGCCACAGAATGTATTTGTTTCAATTAGCACATATACCTGCAATTTAGATCACAGTGCAGCAATATAAAATAAAGACTTATAAAACATAGTTTAAGCTCCATTTTATCTCATCAGATGTACTAAGAAAGAAGGGCCAGTGCTGGAAATATGCTTGTTTCCAAGTTAGAAATTACATTACAGGCAGTTACTGAAAGCATATGTGTTTTCTGAATCTCCTAAATTCAACAAACCTGAGGAATGAACCCATTCAACATAACCTTTATTTTAGATTTTTCTTGTTTTACTTAATTTTTCTACCCGATCCTCCTCTACTGAGGATGCCCCTATGCCGTTGCCCTGGCTAGTGCTGCACTCCCGTTGTTTGCTTCAACAACAAGTCCATCAGCGTGTCTGAGGGCTGCAGTTAAGCGTATCCACGAACTCTTCACGTTGCTGTGATAGGAAATGTGCCATGAGTACCAAACTGCTCTGTCCCCTGTTACAAATGTACCAACTCCCTGCCACAGACCCAAAAATCAGTTCAGGTTGGACAGGACCTCTGGAGACCGCCTGGTCCATCATCCCACGCACAGCATGGGGTTTCCCAGGGAATGCCATTCTCAAGAGAATCCTGCAAGGTACATGTCATGCCCTCACTGTGCTCCTTCGGCTGAACCCAGTGACAGGCCCCATGGGCAACGGGAAAACAGGATTTATGTTTAGAAGTCTGTTTGGTCCAGTCCTGTGAGATTGGTATATTGGCATGTTTTCCCAGCCAGTGGATTTTCTCAGCTAGTGACTCAGGGTGGGAGAGACCACATTAATGAAGATCCAACATGTCGGTTTGCTTTGCTGTGTGTGTTTCTGCAGTGATGTATCACCACCTCAGGTCACACGTTGCATCCTCTCAGGCACGAGACATGTCTGAGCAGCAAGTCCTGTGCCAGTCCAGCGCTGTGGGCAAACCCAAAACATGTTCCATAGTCAGGCTGGTAAGATGCTGTGGCAAGAGCTATGACTATGCTCCAGAACACGGAGGGGCCACACGTGAGGTCTCTTTGCCCAGGAGCACACATGTCCCACACAAGGTGTGTGTGACTGGGCAGAGGGAGCCATGCATGCTCCAGCGCCATCCAGGCCTGGGACATCACAGCGGCTGCTGGCCAGTGGGCAAGATTGACCGTGCTTCAGGTGATGGAGCCCATAGCTTTTGAAAAAAAAACAAAAACAACTTTTCACACCATTTTGCCTCCTCCACAAGAGCTGCTTTGGCCCATGACACTACCTACTGGCCCACAGCAGGGCAGTTTCCCTGGGAACCAAGGGTCAAAGCAAATTTCCGCTACTTAAAAAGCAAGTTCAGCCTTTTAGCAGTCATCCAGGCTGATGGACGAACACCCACCCCTTGCCTCTGTCCCGCCTGCCGCTACCCAGGGCGGCTGGTGGCTAGCTGTCCATGTGGGTAGAGGCTTTTCATTTTTCTTGGTGCTGAAAAGATCAATGCTGTTTCCTGTTTGAGATGTCATGTGATGATTCCTCAGGTAAACCGGATCAGAAGTTGACAGCATTGTTGACAGCTTATGTTTCCTTACAGAACAATGTCATTACTTGTGGTTTTGAGGAGTACATACCTTATGCATAAAACATATTTCAGTTGAAGAGGTACTGCCAACTGACAAAAAAACAACCCCAAAACAACTTGTTATTACCTGTGTGTGTTACAAGCACTTAGACTGCAGAAATTGTAGGGAGGGTTTTTTAGCTCTGTTTTTCTCTGGTTTGTTTGCCTGACCATTTGACAGCAACCTGGTGTTTCCTTTGAATATCCAGGTTACTAATCATTTTCCCCTTTTGTTTTGTGCAAGCCTTTCATATTACAATAAAGAAATCTGTCTCACCAGGAAAATGTGATTGTAGTGGTACAACATCTGGCCAGGGATTCAGGATGTAACTTTTTTTATGCAAGGTGCTCAATTGAAGTTGTATCTTTAATTTTTATATTAAATACTTAATCATGGTTTAAAATTCTGTGACTTGTTTTTAACTAACCTAGCTTTGAAGCTCGGGATGAGTAAGTGTGTTGCTTTAATGATAACTGTGTAGCTTCTCATCAAAATGAAAGTTTGGTCTCATTATCCCATTGTTCTCCTTTTCTTTTTTCTCCAAGCTGCCTGTCTCGTCCTGGGTTGTATGATTTTTCCTGATGGCTGGGATTCAGATGAGGTAAAACGGATGTGTGGTGAAAAGACAGACAAGTACACGCTGGGGGCTTGTTCAGTCCGCTGGGCATATATCCTGGCGATTATTGGAATCTTGGATGCCCTGATCCTCTCATTTCTGGCATTTGTGCTTGGCAACAGACAAGACAGCTTGCTAGCAGAGGAGCTGAAGTTGGAAAACAAAGGTAGGACTGCTTTAGAAACACTATTATTGGGTGACCTCGAGGGCAATTGCTTAAAAACAGTGATTGGTTTCATTTTATTTTATGCTTAAAAGTTGGCATGCTGGCTTACTACCTAAGTTGCTGGGAAAGAAGAAATGCAAGGGGCAGAGGAAGTTTTGCTTTTCAGCCTCTAAAATCTAAGAAAGCTCAGAATTGCCTTAATTGCTGCACTATGAATGATTTATCCTTAACGGTCTTTAGAGCTGTAGATGGGATGTTTTTGTGTTACCCACTTGTACATTATTCCATCAGCATTTAAGTTTCACTATCTCCATCTTTTTCTGTACCCCGTGGAAGATTTGTTCATTTGGTTCCTTTAGGATTTTGAGTTGCAATACCAATGGCTGTAATACGGCGTATGTGGTAGCACAGTACACAGCTGAGGGGGGAGTATTGACTTTGGAGACTGGCAGTGAGCTAGGTAATGGGACCTCCTATACAGGGAGGCACTTGCAGCTAAAGGTTGGAGCCAGGAATGAAGAACATCCTAGTTCTTGTTTGATTGTGTTGCTTTGAGCTCATTAGTCAGCTCACTGGAATCTGGGATGCTCTAGTAACTGAATGTTCATGCAGTGGGTTGGGGATAAAACACATTTCTACATTAAGAACATGAAACTAGCTCAGGCCGGTAGTTTATCACACAGTTGTGAGGGGAGAGATGCTGTTTGGGAGAGTGCGCAAGCTTGGCTGATTTCTGCAGCCCCCTCCCCTCATGCCCCCCCAGCATCCAGAGCTGTGTATCGAATGTGACAGATAGATACCCCAGAGAGCACGTCCCTGCCTTGTCTTTTTAATGGGCCTGATGTCCCTGGTTCTGTTTAATCCCTTCTGAACTCGCTGATACTGCCAGCTTCTACATCACCACGTGGCAGCAAGTTCCTGAAACTCGCTACTGACAGCTAAAGAAGTACTTTCTTTTATCTGTTTCAAGTTGATCCCCTACTAGTTTCACCAAGTGTCCCTGAGTGCAGGATTCTGCATTCAGCTCATCCACCACCTTTGTGATTTTGTAGGTTGCTTCTAATAATAGCAAAGATATTAGGAGCCCTTCACCACTGGACTGGAAATCCAAAGCTGTTTGGCAGCCTGTGTTGTACAAAAATAACTGGTCTCAGGCCTGCTCCAGAGGGACCATTATCCATATATCTGAAAGCACCAGCACACTGGCCCCTGCTTCCTGAATTGCAGTCAGTCAGCACACTCAGCCCAAAGATAAATGGACTTGGAGATTGAACTTCACATATGATTCCAGACCTGGTTAGAGACTACTAATGGTGTGAGTTAAGAAAAGTGTGTGTTGCTTGCAATTGCATGTGTACCTCTGTTCTTCAGGTAAACTGAGGGCATCGATTTCCAGGACTGTCCTTGTGGCCCTTTTCTGTAAGGACAATATTCACCTGCATTTGAAAATTAAAATACTTATCAGAAGGGCATTCATGCTTTTGGCATCAGCACTGTGTCTGATGTGTCTGAACCATACAGAGCTCATGAACTCAACAACTACTTCTATCAAAGAACCTCATCTGTTTTGGCACCTTGTGATCAAAAACCAGCTTCTGGAGACTCATCACCTCTCACGTCGCTGGCACAAGCTCCTGCCAGAACATTTGGTCCTCAGCATGTCGGACAAAGTCATTCAGCAGCTCATTTTCCTTGGATTAAGCACAGAAATGTACCACACCACCAGCTTCAAAGCAAACCAGAACACAACAAAAGTGACCCATCCTACTTTGTCCTTCACAGTCAAGCCTAATGTTCACCACTTTGTAAACTGTCTTTCAAATTAAAAGAAAAAGAGGCAACCTGTCTTCTAAAAAGGACATAATCTCCCCCCTCTCCACAGAAAGCGTCTGCTGAGCAACAACAGGGCCAGCCTAAATCCCCCTGCAGCCCCCAGCATTGCCCCACTGGCATGTATTGCTGCTGGGCACAGCCACAACCCCAGAGGAGTACCAGGAGATCACAGTGGGAGCATGGGTGGGCACCACCACCCCTGTCAGTGGTGGGGACTTGGCAGGTATCAGTGCCAGCAAAGTGCCAGCTTTCCACTTTGCTGGCTAGAAATCAGTCCTTCTTCTGGCCTTTTGGATGCCAGGGAAGCCTGCCTGCATTCTAGTGAGCAGATATCCTACTGGGACAACAAGGCACAAGCGCTTAATTCCTTCCAGTGCTCTCTGATCTCTGTACAAGGAGGGCTGCAGCTTGCTGTCCCCCATGGTGTGCTGATGGAACAGGGCTTTGGGGCATGGTCCCTGCAGACCAAGGAGAGGGTTCTGCCCAAAAGGCTGCACTCTAAAGCTGGCACTAAGATGTGTAGGTGGTACTCATGCATTTTTGCAGCTAGCAGTCGTTTGACTATAGATGCTGCCCACAGTGTTCAAGAGGAAGATTTGGGGTTCAAATGGCCAGGATTGTGAGGCAGGTTTTTGTAATCCTGGACATCACCGGTTGCATGCTCAGGTGACCATCTGGGGAAGTGGGTGTTCATTGCTTACACAAGAATGGTGAAGCAGCTTGTTAGAAGATTAGGACCAACACTGTCCTTGAGTTGGCATTAAACAACCTCCCCTCTGTACCCCCGGCACACACTGTATGTGCATGTGGGCTTTGACACTTACCCTATAAACCCATGAAACTTACCCATGTCTCCATGGCCTTTTCTGGCCTAAGAGATACTGGAGAAATACTCAGCAGCATTAGTCCACATGAATATTGAACACTCCTCATCCTCACCTACTAGAGGTCTGCCTCCAGACCTGTGCTGGCTCCTGCTTCTAGATTAGCAGATATGGATGAGGATCATCCTCAAGGAGCAGTTCCTGGGCTGCTGCTGTCTTCCAAGGGGCAGAAGATGTGGCCTGATGGGCTGTCCTTTGGTTGGAAGCCCAGGGATGACTTCTCCTTGGGGTTGGTGTTGTCCTCTGGTCACAAGCTTGGATATTCCATAGGCTGTGATCAGCAAGGTGTCCCCTTAAGATACAGTCATGGCTCCATCGAGGGTTTTTGGAAGAATGCACCTGGGGAGAAACCAGCGCCATACCAAAGAGGAACCTCTGCTTGCCCTGTCAGCCCTTTGCTGCTGGGTCTTTGCCCCATGCATGTAGATATTACTATGTGGTAACTCAGCAGAGGGATAGAGACAGTAAATTAAGTATACAAGTCACAACAGAGTTCATTTATGTGGAAAAACCTTCAAGAACAAGAAATTATTAGGCAATGATTGGACAGCTGGGCAGCTGTTTTCTTAATCAGGTAACATTCTGTCTGGAGGCTTAGCTGCAGAGCAGCTCCCACTGGCTCATTAGTGACAGTCTGCGGTGACTGTACGAGTACCTGGCACCACAGCTGTCTCTGAGCATCGGCGATGGTAAACAGTTAAAAGTATATGAAATGAAACAGGATGGTAGAAAGGTGAAAATCATAGAAAAAAGAACAAGCTGTACTTTTATTTAGACTTACCCTGCTGAATTGTCCACCTGCTCTGTGCTTTTGATGACTACAGTTCTCTGTATTTACATAGGTTAAGGAAGGCTCATAAGTAAGGAATTTGACTGTTAAAGTTATTCAGGGAAGAAGATGGATGTATTTTTGTCATCACAGAAAGTTTCCTTTTTTTGCCACATGATAAAAATAGTGCTTACTCATTCCTTATTTCCTTAGGTGTGAGAGTAAACCACCACGCAGGTTTCAAGTCTGAAATATAATTCAAGTTTAGCAGACTTTCTTCAGGTTATGATCTATTTAAGGTAGTTTCCTAATCACGCACATTTTACACAACAATCCATACATTTTTCATTTTAAAAAAATGTGTTTTGAAGGAAAAAAAAAAAGATATTTCTGAAAAGACTTTCACATTGTATTTATGCCATTAGCAGAAGGAGGGTATTATATGGTTTTCTTTAAATTATAGGATCTAATGGTAATGACTTAAAGGCCTGTATGTTATTAAACTAATGGCATGCAGTTGATAACAAAATTAGTCAGAATTCATCTTAGCTTTAAGCTTCATCAACACCGCTTTGAATGAGGCATAAACCTTGATGTGTTGTGTAATGACATAATTTAACATTTCGAACCGTGATGTCTTAATGACATAAAATTAAAGTTCTGGCCAAAGGGTGAAGAAACCAAATCAGAAGTTCCCAAAAGAAATTCAGAGTGCAATTACATTTATGGTTGAAAACGGTAATGTGGTCTGCATTATGAGTGATAAATACAAACCCATTTGGAAGAAACTATCCTGTTAAGTAGTCTCAGTCAGAGCAGGTGGATGATGCACTTGGTGGACAGCTGTGGCTTTTCTGATGGATAGAAGAGCTCCATAAGGTGTTTACGTTTAACATTTGACTCATCTTTGGGGCCCATATGGTCACAGATAAGCAATTTGCACTAAAGATTTCCCAGAGTTACAAGCCTAGGGCTGAAATTGATAAAAGGATCAGTGAGCGAGACAGGAGATTTGAAGGATTCATCTACCTTGCAGTGATCGCAACTCACATGGACTCAAACTACACCACATCTCTCCCAACAGCCACGTTGCAGAGCAAAGTGCAGGATGCCCAACCCAGGGCTTGCCAGTTGGTCGACGCTTACACCCTCATTATTCTCCATACCAGTGCTGTCAGGGCCTGATGCAGGTTGTTGAAGGCTGGCTCCATACATCTGCCTGAGCTGCAGTCACTGCAGAATAGACACGCTGAAAGGCAGAAGCTAAGGGGACGTTATTTCTTGGTGACAAAACAGTTTTCTGTAAAAGAAAAAAAAAATAGCCTTGCAGAGAGATTTGCACACCTTTGGCTAGAGAATGGTCTTCTGTAAACTGGAATAGTCTATCCATGTTGCTGCTGCAACAGAAAACCATCTGCAAAAGCCCTGTAATCTGACACTGAGTGACAGGAGGCCAGCAGCACACTTGTCCCATCGAGGGACTACATGACAGAGTGCGCATCAGCTGTCATTCT